AGCCGCAGTCGGGGTTGCGTGTGCCTATGCTGGGCGCAGTTCCGAGGTGCTCGTCCCATTTATTTTGAGTGGGATTGGTGTACATCGCACTTCAGGTGGTATATGCAGGACGCATGTTGTTGGGTGTATCGGACCGTTGCATGGTTGGGGGAGTGCACTCCTGGCTGCTGTGTGTGGCTATGTCGGTGCTACGCGCTTCCCCGTTATGTGCGTGACGAGTCTGATTGATAAGTGGATACGCATACATATAATATGGCTTATATGTGGGTGTCCTGGTGTCCGGGTACATGCGTATTTTTCTGCAGTGCGATGGGAAGGTCAGGGGAACAGAGAGTAGCGAGAGACGAGAAATGGGTTTTTTCTTTGGTGGCCCGGGTGTTTCGCCAAATGGCAATACTAATGTTGATGGGCCTTGTGGGGTTCTCTCGTGGTTTCAGTATGAACAAGCCGGTGTGGGGGGCAGACAGAGTTTACATGTCTCTGTCTGTTGGGTGGCTGATGTTTATCCTGATCGTAAGGAGTAGACCGGGGGCGTGTGTGGTGTTGCCCTGCCTGGTCTCCGCTCTTTTCCTCACCCCCTTGGCGAGCAAAGGGGGTACGCAAAATAATAATGACAATTTTCGAAAGCATCGAGAAAACCGCTTTTTTTTCATGTTGTACAGGGATTGGTAGTTGTTGCGAGCATGTCCTACTGCTGGTCGACCCTACCAACTTCTTGCGATGTTTTCTCTTTGTCTTGAACACTCGGCATGCGCTTAATCGCCAGCAGATGAAATTCAACTCTTGAGTAAGGTGGCCGGGTCTCGACGCCATGCCTTCCACCCACCGCGTCAAAGCCTTCGGCACACTGGCTTTCGATAGCCCCGACGTCTTCCGCTTCCATATTGATTTGATTATCTCAGGTAGGCGCCTACTTGATGACATAAAATGTGGCAGGCATCTGCTTCGTTCGTTGTTTTTTTCGTTCTCTGGTAAAAAACGTCGTCGACAATTTGATCCTCGCACTGCTGTGTGCTACTGGGCTTGATGCCGGTACGCTGTCAACACGACAGAGATAGATAGAGATAGACTGTTGCTTGCCGCATTGCGTCGGTAATGTTGCTGCATTCAAACGGGTACTTGTTCTCTTGCCTCTGTAGGGATGCTTCCATGTCTTCTTCTTTCAAGCCACACACATGTTTGCCTCCATTCGACTCGGCGGAGTCCGGCCCCAGAGGCGGTAGAAAATTCAATGATTCCGTGGTCAAGCGAATAACAGTGTCTCACATCGAAGGTCAACGGAGACGCGCGAATATCCTCAGAGTTCGTCTGCGTATGGGTCACGCGTGTCAACCCAAGATTCTGCGAGCTCGTTGTGTTTTGCTCTTGTGACGGGTTGGGGTGCACGTTTCGTGTGCACGAATAGAGGCTTACGAACGCATATAGGATACCATGAGGATTGTCACTGGTTTTATTTCAAGTTGAAGAGGAGATATTTTTTCGATGTAAGTGACAGTAGAAATAAGTCCTACATAGGTTGTTGTACTTCGTATTGGTTAAATATTCATGTAGAGTATGAGACATTAAGTGAAAGTTTTCTGGGGTACATCTGCAATTGTCGGAAGGCGATAAAAAAAAAACAGAGGCAAAGGATGTCGTAAACGGTGAGGAATGCGAGAACTCGAGAATTCGCATGGTTTTTTGTTCCTTTCGGTATGGTGGTCGCGTCCCGATTGTTGTGGGTGGCACCATGAACGCCTTGGGGTTGCAGTGTATGATTGGCGAAGCCAGTCGTAGACGTGCCTCCCTCATCGGTGTTCGTTTCGGTGGTGTCGAGGTTGGGCTTTATCGCTATTAGATTTTTCTGCAGAGACGACGAGCGCTCAAGACGTAGAGACATGAGCTTCGATGACCGAACGGTAGGGGAAAAGGATGCAATGTAGGTAGTATTGACACAACAGCAATAGTGTCGTTTGTACAGGAGATGAGAGTCAAAAGGAAAATGAAATTCCAACAACGTAGTTCATGTGACACGATGGCAAAACCGTAGCATATATCAAGTTCGTTCATGGGGGCACGGTGTACTGTTTATAGAGCTACTGGCGTGCCCCTGCATGCTGTTGAGTTATTTCTCTTGGGCAACGGAAGTGCCAGATGTAATACAACGGTTGTGTCTTCGGGGCTTGCGGCTGAACTCACATTCACGGGATTAGACTGCCCGAACGGTCACGCTTGACACAAGCATCGACAAAGCCCATGCGTGATCTCCACCTCAAAGGACGTGCTGTGTACGTGTTGGTGAGGGGTAGTAACTGGGCATGTGGTCTACCTGGCTCGAATGAGCTTTTGTTGACATTACGGTTTCAACAAAAAGAGTGCCCAGCGCAACAGGAATCCCGCAGTTCTGTGAGGGATTACGACGAGGGCAAGAGCGCTTTCGTGGCCTGACCAGTTTCATGTGGATATCCATGTTCCGTTTCATAAACGAGGTCGTCGCCGACATGAGTATATAGGTCATCTCCACAATACCCGCCCCTTTTCTAGACGCTTGCTTGGGTTCGGGGAAAGAGAAGGCATCCAGGTTACCGCAACCTGACCGGCTGGCGGCGCGTCTAGTCACTTCTTTTCAATTGTGTGTCCAATTTGACGGGTTCGTTGCGTCCGCCACGTCGTTCGAATTCCCACACGTTCAATCATCTGCTTTTCTAAGTTTATGAACGACACATTACCCCCAAGCGGAAGTTTTACCCTCGCACTTTGCCCAGCTCAGCGGTCGTCTGTTCCCAACCGCTGTTGTGTGTTTGTCCCCGTCCGATGGTGGCCCCTCCCTCTTCCATGCCCGTGTTCCGCTGTTGGCTCCGCTCTGTTTTGCCCCGCAGCCAATGTGGATCCATGCATTAATGCTCATGAAACGCGTTGAGTACAGAATGCCCCCGGAGGATCGAGCGCAAGAATCAAAATGATGGCCCGTGTTCAACCTCGACGACACCAAGAAGGTGGATCACACCAAAAAGATGGACCACCATGTTCATGGCAAAACGTGAGCGTCCATTGTTCGTGGTGCACGAACCCATGCAATTTACCCTTGATTTCGATGAAAATGAAAGAAAAAAAGCCGAATCCTGAGTAACGCCTTCCAAGCGTGCTGTTTTTATTGACACATTTCCTGTGTCCTGGACGTGACACCTGCATTTGCGCCGCCTCGGCTGCTGTAAGTGCGGAAGAACCCTCTGCCTGTTTATGTACCCGCCTAGGGCTATCACAAGTAGTTCACGACGTTGTCGGATCGCGCTCGTACGTTTGACCATACACAGAGAGAGCGAGAGCGAGAGACAGACAGCAGACTGACAGACAGACAGACAGACAGACAGACAGACAGACAGACAGACAGCAGACTGACAGACAGACAGACAGATAGATAGACAGACAGACAGACAGACAGACAGACAGACAGACAGACACACAGACAGACAGACAGACAGACAGACAGACAGACAGACAGACAGACAGACAAGCTGACTGACTGACAGACAGACCACAGCACAAGAACGACACACGTAATTCTCTATATGATCATGGGAGAGGAGATGCTGAGTAAGTCTCAGAGAGGTTTCTCAAAAGTAGCAAACAATCGACAACACCGAATTGCTAACCTTACTCTGCCCTTTGGCCATGACGCAGAATGGCAGAGGCTGTAGAGGGGCGACTGCGGCACTGGACCACCAGCGAAAACAACAACAAGGTCCTAGCGGCCCAAAATCCGGATGGTGAAGCGAGTAGCCAAGCGGGCGAGGGTGCAAGCAGGCCTGCGAACGGACGTGGACTGTAGCAACAGCAGCAGCATCAAGAGCAACAGGAGCAATAGCAACAGCATGAGCAGCAGCAGCAGCAGCAGCAGCAGGGACGGCGACATCGAAGGTGGCGGGTGCAAAGATAAGACCCCCGACATGCTCGATGCCACCGCCACCTCCTCCTCGTCAGCCGCCACCACCTCCACGCCCCTAAAGGCCCTGAAAGGGGTCCAGGAGCCCGGGTTTTTTCCTGCTGCTGGCGCTCCAGCTTGGACTGACGAGGGTCTCGCCCAGTCGGGCCAGATCAAGCCCGACGCTAAGGCCACCGGGATGACCGGTATGGTGGTGGGTTCGGGGGGAGCTACGGGGGCGTCGTCGAAAGGCGGGGTGTGCGGGCAGGCGGCGGCAGAGCCGAAGGAGGAGAGGAAGGAGGGTGGTGAGGTGAAGGGCCTCTTGGAGGAGGACCCCGAGGTGGAGGTAGGGGATGGTTACGGAGCAGGACCAGCGGCAGGGTTCTCGAGGGCAGTGGCGGAACGGGAGGTCGAATGTGACGGCAACAGCACCGTGGGGCTGCAGGGGGACAAAGGCGCTGGCTCTGACTCGATGGTGCCTCGTGAAGCCGGAAAGTTGCTCAAGACGGAACGAGGCAAATCCTGTCGCTCGGATAGCAAAAGAACCAGGCAAGCAGAATGGCACACTCCGAGAGAGAAATAGATCGACTGAAACAATCTCGTTATCAACACAAGCCGATGTTGACAAAGGTTCTTGTCGCCATGTACTTCTTGTTGCCCCCCAAGACAAGCTCGAAAACGACAGAATCGGGGTTCAGCTGCGTAGAGACGATAAAGGTGACCTACATCGTCCCTTCCCATAGTCCCCAATGGTACGGAAATTTCTACTTGTTTGAAACCTTTTCGGTTCTATCATTTCCACAGAGCGTGGATGGAGAGAACGGGCGCGTTAATTCTGCCACCCCTGTTACATCGCTCATGCCCTCTCCTCCGACATATATTTCTCCGCCTACTTGCACATTGTATCAATTCAATGAAAAAATCTGCCGCGCAGGGGGGGCGATAGAGTACGCAGCTTATCAACTCACCTACTCCTTCCCGCGCGCGCTCGCCAATCAAACGTACGACTCGCGAACAAAGCCTTGGGGCCATCCACCGTCGAATTTCGGCGCCAAATAGGTTTACGAAGAATTTTCTCTTCGTCCTATTACTCCTGTCTCATCCCCTCCCTTCGCTTGCCACCATGCCGACGTGTTCGTGTGTGTGTGTGTTTTCGTCCATTATTTTATTGACAGACATTATTCCCCCGATTTTTCGTGGTGAGACATGTACTACACGTGTCTCAATGTATGTGGAGTGCTACACATTTCAGCATATGTATTATTATTATTATTCAGTATATATATTCTTTCGTACATACTGTACAATCTAGAGAGAGAGAAAAGGTCCCCGCAGTTTTCTGATTGGCCAATTTTTTTTAAAGGAAATTTCCTGTGTGCGGAAAATTCCATGGTCGACCGATGACGTCAGCCACGGTTGTGAGGTCGCCTTTTCGGGGAAACTCGAAAAATTCAAATTCCCCGTGATTGAGTGATTGGTCTCATTGATGACGCTCGACTTCCACGGGAAACCGCCGACCACACTTTCTTGTGCCCTGGAGGAAGTTCCTGAACGCATTTCCTACCGGCTGCTCCGATCCACTCTAGACTGGGTGGTATTGAACCCACCATCCTCGCCCCTTTTCTTGTGTTTTTTTTTGTCGCACCCACACGACGGACGGACGGTCTTTGAAAAAAAAAA